TTCTATGGGGTTTTTGTTTCCAATTTATTGGTTTCTTCTCTAGTTTTTAATAACTTCTCTTTTGTGTTTATTTTAGATTTATTTGTTGATTTTCTGTTTTTAAAATGCATATTCAGTTCATCAATCTTCTCTATTGTGTAAATGTATGATTGTAAGAATAAGATTTCCCCCCGAGGACCACGTTAACCACATCCCAGAAATTTTCATATGTTGTTTTATCATTATCATTTTCTTTCATGTCGTTATTAATTATTTCTATGATTTCTTGTTTAACCCACTCATTATTTAAGAATTCATTGTTAAGTCTTCATTTGGGTCTGCATCTTTTGTTTATGGTCCCTGACCAATTTCTATTTTTATTACATTATGGTCTGTAAAGGATGTATTAATTCTTTTTGCCTTTTTACATTCATTTGCAATATCTCTGTGCCCTAATGCATGGTAAGTTTTGGTAAAAATTTCCATATGGTAAAGAGAAAAATGTACATTCTTTTGCTATCCCAATTAGAAGATGCTACAAATCTTTTAACTACAGTTTTTCCAGAAATTTATTTGTTTCCATGTTTTCTGTTAGATTTTTGTAGAGATTGAAGCTTTCTGTCTCTGTTGTGTTACTGTCTATTTCTTCTTGAAGCGCTAATAATATTTTCTTTATGAATTTGGATGGCAAGACATTTGGTGCATGTAAGTTTATTACTGATGTTTTTGTTGTCTGTGATTCCTTTCAGCACGATATAATTTCCTAGTTTATCCCTTTTTATTTTTTGAATGTTTGTTTTTGCTTTGCCTGATAGCATAATGGCAGCTCCTGCTTTTTTGGACTTACTTGATGCATAGTAAAATTTTTTCCATTCCCTCAGTTTTATTTTGTGTATGTCTTTGTTTTTTACATGTATTCCTTATAAGCAACAGATTATAAGTTTTGTTTTCTTATCCAATCTGTCAATCTTTTTCTCTTTATTGGATTAATTAATCCATTCGCATCTTAAGTTATAAGAGTTAGAGTCATGTTTTCTTCAGTCTTTAAAATTGTGGGTTTCTTAAGTTAAGAGTTTTCTTCTGCTGTAAACAGTATCACATTCCTTCAGTTATTTCACTTTATTATTTTTTTAAGGTGGCCCTGTTCCCATTGGCGCTTTTCCCTTCACCTCTGATCCCCTGTTCTCCTTTGTTATCCTTTTCCTTTTATAGTGTAAGGAAGCAATTACTTACCAAGAACAGCAGCCTCCAGTTTGTTGGTTCCTTTTTCTCTCCTGCTTTTATCTGGTTATAGAATTCTTCCCTCTCTTTTTTCTTCTCAGGCCATTCCCCTGTCCTTTCCTCCACTTCAGCTAGTCCTGTTCATTAGTTTTTAAAATTTCATTTTTTTTGTGCCCCTTTCCACCTTCATCCCTGTCTCCTTGTATTTATTTAGAAAGAAGTCTCCTAATGGTCTTTCTCTTTCATTCTGATGCTGTTGTTGTCTGCATGTATTCGCTTCTCCTGCATTTCTGTTGTTTTGCATGTTGAAGGAGCAAATAATCTCTTCAGTTTTGGTTTTCTTCCTAAAAATCTTTAAAACTCTTCCATATTATTGAACATCCATCTTTTGTGCTATGTGGTTAGGCTCAGACTTGCCAGGTATCTAGTGCTCTTCGGAATACACTATTCCAACTCCTCCTACTTCTTCTAGTGGATGCTTGCATTGTTCGATTGTCCTTTCCTTTGTATTTGAAGGTCTTCTCCTAATGGCTTGCACAGCGTGTTTCCACATTAAACTGTTAAATTAGCTCCTATGTGTCTTTCAGTTTTCAGCCTTAGGTTTTTTTCTGGAGGCAATCTGTGAATTCTTTCTATTGTAATTTAATTTTCTATGTTCAGAAGTTCTGGGTAGCTCTTTTCTATTGTTTTCTTCATCATGGTGTCCAAGTTTTTTTGTCCTACATGTTCTCCTGGGTGGTCCTTGAGCCTTAGGTTGTCACTACACATCGTTTCTTCAACTAGCTGATGATTAAGTAAATACACCAATTGGGCTTGGTGAACTGTATTGGCTTTGTTGAATACCGTATTTTTCAGTGCTGGCAGATGTTGACAGAGTTGTCCAGAGGGACCCTACACTCTCTCTCTCTTTTTTTTTTTCACAGAAAGTGTTGTGTAAATTAAATTGATATTATATGTCATGCCTTTCTTCTGTTAGGAGAAAAAAGAGGATCCATAAAGGGATGACAGATGGATGATAACAGACCACAGAGAAATAGAGCTGTTCAGTGTTTATTATTATTTTTTCTACAAGAGAGAATGATCTTTACACCAAAAATTAAAGAAGAAAAATGACTAACAGGGAGATAATACTGAATATAAGGAAGGAGAAAGTAAGAGAGCACTTAGCTGCCTGTGATAAATTCAGGTCTCTTGTTCCAGATGCATCACATCCTCAGGTCTGGAAAAAAAAGGCAGATATGGTTGCTGTGCCACTCTCAGTGGTATTTGAAAGATTGTGGAAAACAGGAGAACGTAGTACAGGATTGGAGAAAGACAGATGTCACAGTTTGTCAAAAAAGAGAATAGCCTTCAAACTGTAGGCCAATGAACTTGGCTTTAATTTCTAGGAAAATTTCTAGAATTGGATGATTAAACAGATAGTTGGTGAATATACAGTTGTGGAAGGAGTAATTGAAAAAGAGCCAGTGTATCATGGCTTAATCAAAAACATGTCACGCTAGGGGCAACTAGGTGGCACAATGGCTAGAGCACCAGCCCTGAAGTTAGGAGGACCTAAGTTCAAATCCAGCCTCAGACCAAACACTTGACCCTTACTAGCTGTGTGACCCTTTAACCCCAATTGCCTTAAAACAAAAAAACAAAAATTTAAAAAAAAAGTCATGCCAAACTAATCCTATTTCTTTTTCTAAAGGATTACTAAACTCTCTTACTTTAGGAGTATGTGGTGAATATAGTTTACCTGGATTTTAGCAAAGCTTTTGATGAAGGATTTCATACTATTTTTGTGGAGAAGATCTCGAGATATGGATTAGATAATGAACTGGTCAAATGGCCAGATTCAAAGAGTAGTTGTTAATGGTTCAATGTTATGTGGTAGGAGTTTTCTAGTGAAGTATGCTAGAATCTGTGCTGTTTAATGTTTTTATCAAAGGCTTGGTTGTAGGCATGTATTATGTGCTCTTTAAACTGAAGATGACACAGAGTGGGGAGAGATAGTTAATACAGGGGGTGTCAGAGTCAAGTTCTGAAGGATACAAGCATGGGGCTGAAACTGTTTGGATAAAATGTAATGGCAATAATGTAAAGTCTTACATGTGTGTACACAGAGCAGTCTCTTTCATGGATATAAAGAGAGGAAAATATTGATATATAGTTCTGAAAGAAATCTGATGTTTTAAGGGGATTAGAAGCTCAGTATGAGCTAGCAGTGTAACGCAGGAGCCCAAATAACCAATGTCATCTTGGACTATGTTAAGAGGGCTTGGTATCCAGGAGTAAGGAGATGGTAGAGTCACCATACTTGGGCCTTGGTGGCATGCATCTGGAGTGTTGTGTTTACTTGGCACCATGGCTTAAGGCCAAGGTGGAGAGCTTTCAGAGGAGAGGAACCAGGTAGTGAAAGGTGTGGAGACTATGTTATGTGGGGATCATTTGAAGGAGAGGGACATGTTTAGCCTAGTCAAGAGAAGACTTGTGGGAGACATAATGGTTGCCTCTCATATTTGAAGGGCTGCCATGTGATGGAAGAGTAATTAGATTTGTTCTGTGTAAAGCCAGAGAGCAGGGGGTGGAAGTTTTAAACAGGCAGATTTGGGAAAGACTTCCTAACAATGAGAACTGTCTAAAAGGCGAATGGGCCACCTTGAAAGGCATCAATTTCACCTTGTACCTCCTCAGGGATCTAGCAGAGAGTGTGAATAAGCACTTATAGAGTAGGTTATAGTGGGGTTTTCTTTCAGGTAAGAGTTGGACGGGATGACCACTGAGATCCCTTCCAACTCTCAAATTCTGATTTTGTGATTCATGGAAGACTTAAAATCATTTTGTCATTCTGTTATTAATGACTGACAAGAATTTACCTGCGTTAATTAAATCAGGTGTTTACTCATGTTATTCAACAAATTTGTTTCATCTGCTAACTATTTTGGGGAATGAAAAAATTTTCTGAAATGTATTGGTTACATTTCTTTGTTCTTGCTGTGGGGAAAGATCAGTAATTCTGAAGTTTTCTAACTTTACTCATTCTTCCTGATCCATCATAGTTGTCTGCCTATACTCTTTGTTTTTCAGTTCGTTTATTTTTGGAGTTATTTCCCCCCCTTTACTGTGTTGTTTTTCACTATTCTATCATACAGAAGACAATTCTATGTGTCATTGAGTGTTGTTTTTAATGACACCTAGAAATGTCTTCAATTCCAAGGAATATGATTCATCGCATCCAGGTCGGGTAGATGCTCTGCTATCCCTTCATTTGTCTTTGTTTTCAATTCCCCTAAACAATATTGGTTCTACCGGACCCCAATGATAACCTTATTCTCCTTGTTGGAATAGTTAGAAACTAGAACTTGCACTAAAGATTCCTTTCTCTCATCACAGGTAATAATTGCTAGTAACTTTTAAAAATTATCTTTCAGATTCTCTTAGGCAGGAGGCCAGGTATGACACCAGAGAACCAAGTCTGATGCAGGACATTTCACAAGAGCATCAGCCAAGATGAGACTAACACAGGCTGGTTCTTGGCCGTCAACAGAGACGGAAGCTGTGGAGTGTGACCTTGATTTAGAGAAACAGAGGGTTGGCCAGGAGAGGCAAGCTAACAAGGAACAGTGTCTCAGAGAACTATTTTTAGTGAGTGAGTGTACCTCAGTGTCATACCTTGGGGAAAAGTTTACTCCTCCAGTCAGTCTTTGTTCCTTTATGGAGAGGGACTATGGAGAAAAGTCTCTAAAAATATAAGACACTTGGAAAGAGTTTCAGGGTGTTTTCAGACCTACTTACCTGTAATGCATTCTCCTTAGGTAAGAACCTTTCTAAGTACAAGTTGAAGAAGCACTTCAGTTACCACTCAGATCTAATTAAATTTTATAAAATACACGCTGGAGAAAAGTTACACGAACACAACGAATGTGGAAAACCATTTGGAAGAAGATCAAATGTTATTGGACATCAGAAAATTCATATTGGAGAGAAACTCGAGTGTAATAACTATGCAAAAACCTTTATCAATAGAGGAAGCTTGATTAAAAAGAAGAAAATTGAGACTAGAAAAAAATCCTTTGAATGTGATGAATGTGGGATAGGCTTCAGCTGGAGGTCAAACCTCATTAGACATCAGAGAACTCATACTGGAGTAAAACCCTTTGAATGTAATGAATGTGGAAAAACTTTCAGTGAGAGAGCATCTGTTACTAGACATCAAAGAACTCATACTGGAGAGAAACCCTTTGAATGTAATGAATGTGGGAAAGTCTTCAGCAGGAGGGAACAACTCATTACTCATGAGAGAACTCATACTGGAGTGAAACCCTTTCTGTGCAATGTATGTGGGAAAGCCTTCAGAGAGAGCCAGGTACTCAAAGGCCATCAGAGAACTCATACTGGGGAGAAACCATTTGAATGTAATGAATGTGGGAAGGCTTTCAGTTGGAAAGGGCATCTTATTATGCATAAGAGGACACATACTGGAGAGAAACCCTTTCAGTGTAATGAATGTGGGAGAGCCTTCTGTCAGAGAGGGTCCTTTAATAGACATCAGAGAACTCATACTGGAGAAAAACCCTTTGAATGTAATGAATGTGGAAAAGCCTTTAGTTTGAAAAGTGTTCTCAAAATTCATCAGAAAACTCACACAGCAGTTAAACCTTTTGAATGTAATGTATGTGGGAATGCCTTCAGTGACAGAAATGTTCTCAAAAGCCATCAGAAAACACATTCTAGAGTGAAACCTTTTGAATGTAATGCATGTGGGATAGGCTTTCAGTGGAAGTCAAGCCTTGTTATACATCAGAGAACTCATACTGGAGAGAAACCTTTTGTTTGTGACGAATGTGGGAAATGCTTTAGTCGGAAGGAGAATCTTATTAGACATCAGAGAATTCATACGGGAGTGAAACCTTTTGAATGTAATGAATGTGGGAAAAGTTTCAGTGAGAGTATACACATCACCCATCATAGAACTCGTACTGGAGAAAGACCCTTCGAATGCAATGAATGTGGGAAAGGCTTTAGCCGAAAGGGAAGCCTTATTAGACATCAGAAAATTCATACTGGATTGAAGCCCTTTGAATGTAATGAATGTGGGAAAACCTTCAGTGAGAGGGCATCCATTAATAGACATCAAAGAACTCATACTGGAGAGAAACCTTTTGAATGTAATGAATGTGGGAAAGTCTTCAGCCGGAGAGAACAACTTATTGCCCATGAGAGAATTCATACTGGACTAAAACCCTTTCTGTGTAATATATGTGGGAAAACCTTCAGTGAGAGCCAAGGGCTCAAAAGGCATCAGAGAACTCATACTGGAGAGAAACCATTTGAATGTAATGAATGTGGGAAAGCCTTCAGTTCAAGTAATGTTCTCAAAAGCCATCAGAGAATTCATACTGGTGAGAAACCTTTTGAATGCAATGAATGTAAGAGGGCCTTCAGTTCAAGTAATGGTCTCAAAAGCCATCAGAGAACTCATACAGGAGAGAAACCTTTTGAATGCAATGAATGTGGGAGAGCCTTCAGTTCAAGTAATGTTCTCAAAAGCCATCAGAGAATTCATTCATACAAGAGTGAGACCATTTAAATATAGACATAAGTGAAGGCCTTCAGTGATAACATTCTTAAAAGTCACCAGAGAACTCACACTGGAAAGAAACCCATTGAATGTGATGAATGTAGCAAAGGATTCAGGTGGAGGGCAAACCTAATTAGGTATCAGAGAACCTTTTGTAATAAATGTGGGGAAGATGTCATTGAGAGTAGATACACTGTATATCAGAATTCACTGTTGAAAAATTAATATGGGAAAGGCTTTTTTAGCTGGAGTGAAAGTCTTTTTAGGCAGATATCAAAGGACATACTATAAAGAGAAATCCTTTGAATGTAGGGAATACTTTAGTACCAGGAGAACAATTTATATAACAGCTATTAAAATGTGAAGGAAAATTACCTTTAACAACTTCAGAAATCGATGTAATGATCAATCATCACTATAGAAGAGAAATATTGAAACATTCTTCCCACTGCTTAGCAGAGAAATGATGGACCTACTGCAGGGGTTTGGGCCCAGCACGGCATACCGCCTATTTTGTTATGGCCTGAAACTCGAGAATAGTTTTTATATTATAAAGTTTTATTGTGTTTTTAAATGTATTAACCATTCTTATCTGGACCTGTGCAGAAGCAGGTGGTGGGCCTTCCAAAGGCCAAAATTTGCTGACTCCTGGAGTAAAGATTCAGAAGTTTTCAGACATGACTAGTGTTAATTTATTTTACTTAATCATATTTATTACAACAGAGAGCTTTTACCTTGCATGAGAAATGTTGCGGGGGAGGGCATGGGTTGATACTGATATAAAAAAATAAAAGTTTCTAAAACAAACTACACAGAATTATACATAATGAATTCTGACAAGGATAGATTTGTTACTATCCTGTTAAAGTTAATATTCATTTAAAGTGTACATAATAGCTTACATATTCATGTAAATTCTTTTTCCTTTGTATATTTTTCTTCTGTTTTTGATGTTTGAGTTCATAATTAAAAGAAACCTAAATGGAAACTAAGAAATCTGTCAGCCAGAGGGTATCATTGGGAAATTTATACTAAAAGAAACTCTTAGAATATAATAAATGTGGGGAAAGATTTGAGCAGAGGGAAAACTTTATTCTCTGAAGAAAACTCATATGCAGGAGATAGCTTGTTGCCCTGTTTGGCATGTCAAAATAGATAGGGTGAGTGGTTGAATAAGATGGTAAGCATATCGTGATCTGGGGCCAACTAGATAAAGAAGGCCAGTGGAGTTTGTATTCACTTAACAATTAGGATAGCTCACCCCCAGGACAAGTGTACCGAGGCAAAGTGGATTATAGGTTCTTGAGGTCTTGCCCAGAGAATGCTATTCCAGGTGGAAAAAATTGGTTTAGCAGGAGAGTACATGGCCAGTGTAGATGACTCAATGAAATATCAAAAACCAACACATTTGGAGTACTTCCATATAGAAAGGTACCATCATCCTCAGTGTTGATGGACCCCAAAGATTGGGCCGGCAAGTATGAATGCTGTAGATGTGGAATGGAATGTTTCCTTGTTTGTGGACATTGGGGTCTTATTCTTGGAAGAGATCCTAACACTAGTCTGCCATACCAAATGTTACTGCGGAGTTGGTCTGTTCTATCTTGTATTTGACTTTACTGCTTACCTTCCCCTGACTCCCTCCCCGAGGTGGGCCTCTCATTTGACAATACTTTCTGTTGGGAGTGTACTTCTTAGATAGCTTCTGTTATTTGTCTGTCCCCCTAAATGCTCTTTTCCCTTTTTTCTGTTCATTCACTTTTTTGACATTGCTTTCTAATGTAAGTGGGGCTCACTCATCTAGTAAAGACTGGACTCTCAGATGTATCTTATTCAAATGTCTCTTCAAAAATTCTACCAACTTCTATTAATTTTTTCATTGATGTCTTTTATTTTTACATCACCTGCATTTCCTATTGTATTCCTCTCCCTTCCAGAGAGTTACTCCTTGTAACAAATAATAAAGAGGGATAAAAGTTCAACGTAATGAAAAAAATGTTCAACAAAACTAAACAACATAATAGAAAAAATGAAAAAAAAATTAGATGCAGTATTCCACACTCAGTACCCTCAAGTCTGTCAGGAAGTATCTATACTTCAAAGGTATATATACTTTCTTTGGGCTAAACTTGTTCACTATAATTTCATAGCATTCAAAATAAAAACACCCCCTCCACCCAATCGTTAGCTGTGATTTAGTTGGATTAATACCAGGGATTCAAGGGTGGTTTAACATTATGAAAACAATTTAGAACAATTATATTAAAAACCATCTAAAACCACACAATTAACTCAATAGATAGGGGAAAGGCCTTTGCCAAAGTACAACACACATGCTAAAAATCCTACAAAGCAAAGGCATAGAAAGAACTTTACTGTGGAGAAAAGCATTGGTACAAAAGCTAACATTATATGCAGTGTGGGAACAGTGTAAGTTTCCCCAAGAAATATAGAAGGAAAGGAAGGCTGCCTCTTTCCTTGCTATTTTATAGCATGTTTTTAGAGTTGCTACAATAGCAAAAGGGGAGGGGAAATGAAGGCTTTATAAAGACAGGCAAAGAGGAGACAAAACTATACCTTATTTGCTGATGACATAATGGTTTCCATAGAAAATCCCAGGGAATCTGCAAAGAAACTAATTGGGAAATTTAAGGCTTTGATATTGGCTAAAATGGCTACCTCCATTGTAGTCAGACTATTCAGTTCCCACATATCTACTCCAACAAAGCCCTGGAGACCACAGCATGTGGAATAATCTATAAATGCCATGAGAAACTACCGTAAGTGATTTCTGAATGCATAAGAAGCTAACCAGAAACCTGAGGACAGTAGGAAAGAGAGTCACTGGAGGTCTGGTACCAGCAAAGGATAGCCTCCCAGCACAACCAGATCTGGGCCAGGGTCATGTTGAGTCTACAAGTCTATGTGTGTGGAGGCAGCAAGAGCAGAGAGCTCTTTCAAGAAGGCCCCAGGGTGGGGACATTAGAAGCCCCGGGAGTGGGAACCAGTAGGGACCACTTTAGTGCAGCTGCCCTCAGAATAGAATAGCCCTGGTCCAGGGATTCTGAGGACCCCAATACTCTTCTTGAGGAATTGGAGAGGGGCCAGAAGACCCAGGTCTCTGAACCTCAAAGAATCTAGGGGGCCTAACCCTGTGAGGTGGAAGTCAGTTTAAAAGCCCCGGTGACCCAAAGTGGGACCAAAGGAGAGTCAACCAAAACCTCACTAGGGGCCTGAGCCTGGCCCTGGCACAAAGGCCTAGTTTAGGAAATAAAGCTAGAGAAATGGGTAAATGTAAGACAATATTGACCTGTATCAGAAATTTTTGTAGATATATTCTCCAAATGAGCAACTCTGTAAGAACTGCTAGCAGAAAGTCAAAGAATGTTGCACAAGTACTACATAAATACCTAGAAGAAATGAAGCAAAAGATAAAAAATTAAGAAAAAGCTTTAGAGGAAAGAATTAGTAATAAAATAGTTTAAAACTGTTCCCTAAGCTTCATTTAAGAAAGTCTCTAGAAACTGGATTACCTCAAGCACAAATCATTGACTGTAAGGCAGCAAGAAATGTTAGAACAAAGTCAAAAGAATGAAAAAAGGGGGAAAAAGTAAAATATCATATCAGAAAGAACTGATAAGGAAAACAAGCAAAGTAGAGACAAGTATCATTGAATTCCCAGAAAACTAAAGAAAAAAAAAAGCCTGGAGACTATATTAGATTTAGATGATTAAAGCTGGAATACACTAATCACCTCCTGAAGGGAAAAACTCTAGGAATCTTAGAGCCACAATGCTTCCTGTCTCACATAAAATATGTGTGTGTGTGTGTGTGTGTGTGTATGTATGTGTGTATCCCTAGCATACAGAAAGAAGTTGTTCAAATATCAAGGAACTACAGTTACAGTTCATCTAAAATCCATCAGCTTCTACTGAAAACCAGAGGAGACCTTGGGATACAATATTTCAAAAGGCAACTCAGAGTTAACCTGCAATGTGGAGTATAATCCTACCAGGGATTGGGGAAATGGACCTTTCCTGGAACAAAGGACTTTGAAGTGTTTCTGATAAAAGACAAGATTTTAGTAGGAACTTTGAAATGCAAATAGATTACAGAATAACCTTGAAGGTAAGTTTATTTGAGTAGTTGGAATACGCTGTATGATTATGTAGTACCAACATTCTGTTTGGGCTCATGAGGAGAAACACATGTTGCTTAAGAACCTTAATGTCTTCAAAGGGTAGTGAGGGAGTTAAACGGAAAGCCCTGGAGTGAACTGCTGTTTTCAGGGTTTGGAGAAGAGAAAGAGAAGAGAGGGTAAACAATATTATTCGTATATATAATGGGCAAAGGAGTTTAACGCACAGGCAGTTTGGTGTATAAATTAGCCAAACTCAACAGGGATTTGGGGAAGGGAGCTAAGATGGAGGAAGGTAATACCATGGAAGGAACATACAAACGAAACAAACTTCCTCATCCTAAAATTAAAATGGGGAGAGAAAGGAACTAGGACCTAAAGATTGCTTTAGATTGCCTTAGTCAGTCGGGAGATGGCTGAACAAGGTGTAATATATGAAGAATGGAATATTATCGTACCACAAGAAATTACGCTGAGTGAAGGAAGCAAGCCCAGGAGAACAATTTCTACAAGATCAGCAACATTGCAAAAAAACAACAACTTGGAAAAACTCACGAACTCAGATCAGTGCAATCACTACCTGTCCCTAGAGGACATAAGTGTGTTACCTGCTTCCTCATAGAGAGGGTATGGGCACAAAGCACAGAGACATTTTGGAGATGGATATTTAACACATGCAATTTGCTTGACTATGCTTATTTGCTATGAAACTTTTTTCCTCATGGTTTTTAATGGGAGTGGTCAAGGGAGTGGATTAGAATTAGTGATATATATAGGGCCCATTTTAAAATGCTTTAAATTTCACAGACTATTTGTATTATGAATAAGCTTGAGTCTACTTTCCCTTGCTATTGAAGAGAACAACTTCTAGCTCCACCTCTGGTTGGGGGTTAGGAGACCAGGGCGTAAGCATGAGCTGGACTGGCCCAAATAGTTGCAACACCCCAAGGCCATGGTGTCCTGACTGGACAGAAGTATCAAGTAGTGGTGGTCATTGGAAGCAGTGTCAGCAAATCAGCATTCATTATCCAGTTCAGCCAGTCCTATCTCATAGATTATGATCTAACAATTGAAGATTCATACACCAAACTGGATAGATTTTAGGGAAGTGGTTTGATATTCTTGGCACAAAAGGGCAAGAAGAGTGTAGGGTGATGAGAATATAAGATATAAGGATTGGAGAGGATTTCCTGCTGGTCTTTTCAGTCACCTATCAAGGAATCTTTGAAGAAATCTATAAAATGCATCAGCAGATCCTCAGACTAAAAGACCACGATGAGTTTCCAGTCATTCTAGTTCATGATAAAGGAGATCTTAACCATTCAAGATGGGTAACACAAGGAGGATAGCAAACTGCAAAGCAAACTCAGTCATTCATGGAGGCATCTGCAAAAATTAGGATGAACTTAGACCAACCTTTCCACGAAATTGTATGGGGTATTAAGAACTTCCAGAAGAAATACTGTTCTGCCTGAGAACCAGTCAAAGGAAGAGAAAGATGAGAAAAGTCATTGTATTATTTCCAGGAATTTCATGTATCTTAGCTACTGACTTCCAGAAAAGTCTCTCTTTTGTTCCTTTCCTTCCTTCCTAATTTACATTCTCCTGTTGGATACCTCTCTGGCCTTACACACATATTCTGTTAATGGCTAACTTTAGTCCAAGAAGAGGACTAAATCCTGGCCTTGGAGATAACAATGTTATAGACATGTCTGGACAG